CACAGCCACAACAGATAAGCAAAAGACAAATAAGTAAAAAAGCTTTCCCAAGTAAAACATTATAAGATAAAACATCTCCAAAAATATTATTAAGCTCATTTTGTGTAACATGAGGGGGTCTGCTTGTTTGGGGGTTTCTTTCCCGCCCTGTCCCCCAGCTGTTTAGTCCCAGAGAAAAATCACACATGGATCTCTGCAAGTTATAAAGCTGGTTGGCCCGTTAGGTCAGGCTTCTTACTGGCTAACTCTCTCATCTTGATTAACCCATTTTTCTGATCTATGTTAGCCATGTGGCTCAGTACCTTTTTCAGTGGGGCAGCTCACATCCTGCTGCTTGGGTGATCTGGGCAGGAGTGGGAGGAATCAACTTCCTCCTCCCCAGAATTCTCCTGCTCTCCTTGCATCATTTCCACTTCCTGTCTGGTTTTCCCGCCTACACCTCCTGCCTGGCCAATCAGCGTTTTATTTAAAACATGATTGACAGAATACAGACAATTTTCCCCGCACCAATTTTGTGTTGGCCATCTATTGTTGGGTAGGGAGCCTGCACTTAAGTGTGGTTTGTATAACCAGTGAGACTCCATTGGAAAAAAATAGTTTTTCTTAGCAAGCAATAATCAGTTGGAGATAGATTCTGTGTTAGGAATGGAGGCCTGTGTCCACTTCCCCTCTCAGTAGAGTCTATCTGGCTTGGATTCGCCACAGTCTCTGAGTTCATATGTGCAGTCCTGTTGTGTCAGGAAGGCACTGTTTCCTTGGTGTCCTCCATCCCCCCTGGCTCTCACAGTCTTTCTTTCTCCTCTTCTGTATACTTTCCTGATCCCTGAATGGGGAGGGTTTGATGAAGCAGCCCATTTAGAATTGAGTACTCCCAGGTCTCACTCTGCACACTGTCCAGTTGTGGGTCTCTGTTAGTGCTCATCTCCTGCTAGAGAAAACCTCTCTGATGATGGCTGAGTGGGACACTCAGGAATGTGATCTTTTATAGAGAAAATGGATAGGATGTTTTTAAATCTGACTTCTCTTTAATTAAAGGCATAGGAAATTTCTAAATCATGGTTATGCTTAAAACTTATAATTTTTCTTTAGAAATTAAATTTTATTATTGCCATTATTTGTAAATAATGTAATTAGATTCCCATCTTCCAAAATTGTCAACATCTTGCCAATCTAATAAATAAACCATTTCTTCACTGTTTGCTTTCTTAAACTTTGCTCTTAGTTTTAGTTGTTTTGTTTTAATTATAAAGATACTTTATTCTTATATATTCAGATCTGAAATGCAAAATCATATATTAAGTAAGGACCCAGTAGTGTTTCTGCCTGAGGGCACTAGATCCATTGAAAGTCTAAATTTACAAATCTTTCATTGGTATTCTAGATAATCCTATATAGATAAATGTTGGGTATATCTTAGCCTTGTAGTGAAAAATACAATAAATAAGTAAATAAATAAACATAGAAGAAATGACATGTAATGTAGAGAAAACGTATATGCTCTTCATTAAAATGATGAAATATTTGAGATAGTCAAATAAAGAGTAGAGATGGAGTTGGACTCACTTTTCAGATGCTGTGATCCATTGTCCCCATTGGCTTCTGAGCCCATGACAAGCACAATAACATGGCAGGGAGTGGATGACCTAGCACAGCTGCTCACTTGATGATAGACAGAGAGCAGGAAGATCTTCAACCCTATTGTCTCCTTCCAGGGCACAGTACTAGCAACCTTAGTTTTTCCCATGGAAAAACTAATCCATTGATCAGGCTTCCAATACATGGTGTGTAGAGAAAATTTAAGATCCAAACCATAGGATAGGATCACATGCAGTATAAGGACGATTGCTTTATTAATTGATTTATTTATTTTTAACTTCATTGTTGTATGGGTTTGTGGGGGTGGAGGAAGTCAGACAAAAGCTTTGTAGAGTCAGGTCTCTCCTTCCACCTCTGTATGGGCTCCAGGGATTAAACTCAAGTCTAGGTTTGTGCATTAAGTGCCTTTACCCAGTAAGTTCTCACTGGCCTAATAGTTGCTATTTAAATAGATTAGTCAAAGAATATTCTCTTTAAAAAGCTGATATTTGAACAGAGTTTGACAGAAGAAAGACAGTAAGTGTTATCTAGAAAATAGTGTCTCTCCAAGCAAGAACCAAGGCAGGAGTGTAGTGTGTGTGTGTGTGTGTGTGTGTGTGTGTGTGTGTGTGTGTGAGAGAGAGAGAGAGAGAGAGAGAGAGAGAGAGAGAGAGAGAGAGAGAGTCATGCTGTATAACATAGGCTATTCTTGGGTCCAGTAATCCCTTGCCTCAAACTTCTAAGTGCTGGGATTATAAGTGTATGCTACACCTCTGGTGTGAATTTAATATTTTATTAGTATTTGAGAAAGAGTGGAACAGATCTTCTAAGAGTGGCATAGGCTGGGAACTCTTCTGAGAACTGTGAGTGGACAAGCAACTGAGTTCACATATCTCATAAATTCCTGTCAGTTTTTGAATACAAACAGTATGTCTCCAAAATTAGGTTATTGATAAATTGATTGTAATATGAATAATTTATCCCTAAAATAGAATTTATTTTGTTTTTATTTTGTCTATATGAATGTTTTGCTTGGATGTACAGGCCTGCCCACATATGTGCCTAATGCCTTCAGAGACCAGAGGAGTGTGTTGGATTCCCTGGAGGTGGAGTTACAGATGCTTGTGAGCCATGGTGTGGGTGCCAAGAATCAGGTCCTCTGGAAGAGCAGCCAGTGTTCTCAACCACTGAACCTACAAAGATAGTTTTTGTTAATTATAAAGCAGCAAAAACTAATGAGAGGGTTATAAATAATTCATCCCTCTGGTTTGGTAAAAATTACTACTTTTCAATAAATATAACTTGAAATTTTTCATTTTATTTTGTATTTTATATATGAGTGGTTTTCCTAAATGAATGTGCACCTTGTGTGTGCAGTGCCCATGGAGGCCAGAAGGGGGCATTGAATCTTCTGGAATTAGAGTTACAGACAGTTTGGGGTACCTTTGTGGGTTCTGAAAATTGAACCTGTGTTATCTGGAAGAGCAGTCAGGGATCTTAACCACTGAGCCATATCTCCAGCACCAAATATTACTTTTGAGCAAGTCAGTCAGTATATAAGTATAAATATATATTATAACAACTTGCATAATTAACATGTTTGTCATTATAGGCATGTGGTTGATAATCAAATGCTGAGACAAAACTAAAATAGTGCTATAAATTTATATCTGCTTTTCTTTCTGGAAACTTCATACATCTGATGAAAAGAAGGACTTTACTATGTAACCACAGTACCAGTATCATACATGAAAAGTAGTACTGGCTTTGTAAAACTATCGAACTGAAATCTGAAAGATTTCCTTTTTTTTTCCTCTGCAATTGTTGTTCAAGCTTTTAAGAATGTGAATAAAGGGAATGTTTTGTTTTGTTCTTATCCTTTTAAATTACTTTTTATTTCTAACTAAACAAGACAACTCTCACGTGAAAGCAAATGAGCCGTTCCCCACTCTGCTCATTGATTGCAGCTAGGGTAGAAGATATGCGGGACAATAGAAATTGCACAAAATGACAAAAACCAAAATTGTTTAAAATTTTTCCAATTTTTGTCTTTTTTTTTGACTCAAAGGTAAGATCAGTCTGTGAATGAATGTCTTTTCTTTGGGGTTACCTTAAAGACTTTACACTTAAGGAAAAACCCTGCCTCGTTTGCTCTACTTTATTTTTTCAGTCCAGAACAGTTCTGTTTTATTACACTATTTCATCTTTTTCTCTGAGTACCAGATAGGCACTCAGTAAATATTAGTTGGTTGGACCAAGGCTCTAAAGTACTTCATAAGCTATTGGCAAACAATAGGCCCTGAAAATGTGGGAGGAGTTGTTTTTGTATTGCTTGAAGGCTTGTTTTGTTTTCTGACTAGAAGTTACTTATTTCTTATTTTTCTGTCTCTAGAGGACTGTGACAGACACCCTCAGCTTCCTCAGTGCTGACATGCACCACTGTACTCAGCTCTTGAAGAAAAAAAAGTTTAAATGAAGCAAAGCTGCATTCTTAAATGTATTATGCTTCATTTTTAAAGATATTATAGGTTTTTTTTTGATCCCTCTTCACCCTTTTTACTTTAAGAAAGTCAGATAAGTACTTACAAAAGAGTGAAACTTAGCATTTTGCTTATCCTGGGAATTTTGTGAATTGCTAGTAGTAGACTTCGTAGTTCTCACCGCCAGCGTCTGTGTGACAGCCATTGGCATTATTTGATCAAACTGTTCTAATATATTGTTACAAACTCACATGTTTGCTACTGGACAGACACTAAAAAGTAAGTGAGACCCACATCTGTGTTCATTTTTAGCTTGTGCCTGACTTTGAACTAATGTCTTACAGATCAGATGCGGGGTGTTATGTATTTTACAGGATTCTTATGACAAAGAAATGCAATAAAGGACACTGGGAACAAAAAGATAAGTCTACATGTGATAAAAGGGTATTTCTCAAGATTAGCCTTATTGTTGCCGTTGTAAAGAGAGAGAAAGCAGAACTTTCTGACAGCCTGTGGTGACTGAATAAATAACAGAATACATCACAGTAGGAAGTCATATCAAAGAAAAATTCAAATGGATTTATTTATTCTTTTGGGGAAATAAGGAAGCAGTGATTCTTTCACAGCTTTTATGGTGTTACATTATAAATCTAATGACCTCAAGTCAGAAATAGAACTTTCCCAGAAGAATTGCAGCCGAGACCAGATAATGGTAGAAGTTCTGTGCTGAGAGCAGCATATGAATACATCATCAACAGTTGCTAGATGCCACCCGAGGAGGAAAAGTGGCTTAGCTGACCTCACCAACTGTTCCTGACCAGAGAATTGGTGACAGTTTGGACGAATCCTGCCTTCTGAGGAACATTTCTTTCTTATGAACTCTATAACTCTATGATGTTTTCAAGGTAATGAGCATAATAACCAAAGGTTTCTTCCTTTCTGCAGCATTTATCAGCATAGAAAGAAGGCCTTTCACCCGTCAAGTAGATGCACCACCAATGGTAAGGGACTCTCTCTCCCTTCCTCCATCCCTCCCTCTCCCCCCTCCTTGTTAAGACCGATAAGAAACTACAAGATGGTGCTGGTTGATGACACCATTCCTGAAAACACTTGCACCTTCTCTTTCCCAAAGTCACAGCCCTACAAGAAATTAATTTCATGTTGACAATAAAAGAAAACCTAATTTTTGCCAAAATATAGGAAAATAATATGCAATCTTAACAGCCACGTGTTTATATTTCAACTAAAATAATTTATACTTTTAATAATGTAAATATATAATATGATACTTGCTTTTAAGTTGAATTATTTTCTAGAATAATATTATTTAGAGTGGATGTTTTATTGTAGTAAAAGAATTCCCTATTGCTCAGTTTCTCTTAAAAGTTATTTTACTGCATTATTATGGGAGTGACATTGTACCTGTTGTCTAGACAACAAAAGACAGTTAGTTATACTGTTTACTATAGTAACATACATAGAATGGTGTTTTCTTTTAGTCTCTGAACATACTTGTATGGAATAAGCCCAGGTAACTAGCTTCCAGTTGGAATTTTCCTCAGATGATGTCATCTAGAGGACATCTGCTTTCCCTTCAGCATAGTCTCCTCACCGTTGGTATGTCTTCCAAGCTCTTCAAATCACTCACCGTTTTCTGTTGTGAGGAACAGCTCATCATTTTTAAAGGAAATAGAAACAATATTGAACTACATTTGGATATTGTCTTGTGATTAAAAATTGCCTTCCTAGAAAACTGACTTTATTATATATTTGATTAGTTTAATGTTTTTTATCATCTAAGGTATGATATGTATGTGATGTTAGTCACCAACAAAACCATAAAAAATATTCAACTGTAGGGTCGGTCCAGTTCTCCTCAGTAAATACACTAAGAGAGTAGCCACAACATTATGTAAGTTTGATTCATTACTAAAATTAGAAGCTGAACTAGGAAATTTGTTATTTTTAATGTATTTGAGTAATGTACTCAGTCTTTAGATTATTTTCATACTTTTGAAATCTAATTTAATCTTACAGGCATTCCTATGGCACCTGTGTCAAATTTCTGCTTCATATGTAGATTCTAGAACCCTAAAAAGTACAACCCATCAGTTTTCTTGTTATGTCGTTTCTGAGATGATTATAGATGAATTTCTGTTATTAATTTGTGAAGTATTAGAGCCCAATCCACATGGAATCAAGAACAGGGATGTTATTAGTACTTATGGCAGGTATACAGTAATGACCCCAGAAGAACCCTGAGGTCGGAGCTGGTTCTCATGCATGTAGTGCTTGGCTGTTGTCTTACGATTCTGCTCCCTTGGCTGGATCATGAATGGTAGCTACTAATGAATTCTTACCATTTTACCCCATACAGTCAACACATTTTTGCATACATACCATACACACACCTGTGTGTGTGCATGTGAGTGTGTGTGTGTGAACTTCCCAAACCTCCAGCCCTCTTTTTATAGGTTGTTCTGAGGTAGGACCAGCTACTCTATGTGTTCCTTTGCTACAAACTGAAGAATGTTTTGCCCGCGGCTGCAGTTCTTCAGCCTGCTAACAGTCTCGGCCCTTCCCCACAGAATCACAAGTCTTTTCCTATCTGATACCCTGAGGTTCTCAGGACAGATTAAGTCTGACTTTTGCAGAAGTATATTTCTACATAACTTTTGTCCTTGAGCTCTTTAATTGTTTAAGAGGCCAATATATTTATGGGAAAAAGAAGGCAATCAGTCCTTAAAATTATCACCATGAAATATTTGTAAATCCAAACCTTGTATTCCCTGGCCTGAAGAGCTCATTGTTAAGCCCCTTTTGTGCCCAAAAACAAAATAGAAAGGGAATCACCCAAGATTTGAAAATGGCTGGTGCTGGACCCTAACTGACATCTTGAACTTGTCTGGAAACCTCAGTGTCTCTCATTCCTACCTGTTACTGTTCTTTCTTTGCTCTTGCTCCTAGTGCGCCAGCAAACAGCCCATGCCTTGTAGAGTGCTAAATGCTAGTTGTGACTCTTTAGCCATGAGGCCAGGGAGTAACTAATATTTCTCAGCCTCTGTCCCAGGAAATGGTGAACTGCTTCTTCATAGTCCCAGGTGGAATTCTGAAGAGTTTTCAGTTAAATATATGGTTATAGGGGCGATTTTGCTTCTTAACACTGTAATGCTGTGCCACATAAGTAAATATAGATTAGCCTGAAAACAAAACCACCACTGTGCCTTTGTTCTACATTGCCTAGCCCTCTTTTCAATTTACTTACTTACTTTTTATTTTCATTTGTTACATGAACACATGAGCATTGTTGGGTCGGGGACTTGTCTTTGGCATACATAGCACCCTGTTTTTGCACTACCTTTAATGGAGTTAGGGCTGTGCCTGAATGGATTGATGCCCTGCATCAAATGAGTCAGACCACCCTTTTGATTTCTGTACTGAGCTGGTGTTTTGCTTTTCCTTGTTTTAGAAGTGAGGACTGAGTTGTGGCCTGGCATGTTAGGCAGGTGCTCTCCCACTGAGCTGCACTCCCAGCCCTGCAAAGGCCGAGTTCTTAATCTTGTCTGTACCTGAGAGTGCATTTCCAAGATACGTTTTCCAAAAAAACAAAAAAAAAGAGATGAATTACTTAAGTATACATATCTAAAACTATCTCTCAGTATTCTTGGTGCAATCATATTTTTATTTGGTAGTATGACTTTTAAAAATATAATAGAAGTTGATCATCTCTGCCTTCTGGCAGAGTCTTAGGCAAGTTATTGGACATTAGCCGAGTATTCTTTTTTATAGCTAACCTGTTAGGCCTGCTTGTACATTATGGGCTTTATTTTATATGTACCTAATATCCCAGTTCTGATTTGAAGATTAAAACTGTAACTTTCTTCATGCTGACTTCTTTGCTGAGCAGTATTCACTTGAACACTCTACAAAAACGCAAACAAGGCACATTAGTCGATTATATGAAAATTGGATGATTATAGAAAGATTATATGAAAATAATTAGATTATGCCCTTTAAAAACTAGTCTGTGCACCTGCTGATGGCCTGTGGCAAGGTAAGGGTAAATTATCAGCCTCTAATTTTTCAGAGGTCTTTTTCTGAACCCTGAAAGGCAGGTGTAAAAGTTAGTTAATAGTTAAGTCAGCATAGGCGTGAGTCCTTTACTTGCTTTAAATGAAGGACTTATTTGCAAATCAAAAAGAAGCCCCAACCAACATGAGTAAATGTTCCTCGGAAATACAGTTAAAGTATACCTGCCGTTTAATATGTTATCATATGCATAGCATGTCATTTTATGTTTTATGGCATGTTATTATGCTTGCAGAAGACATTAAAACATAGTAAGCCATGCCAAATGTACACATGCTTCTTAGTGATTTGAGTTTTTTTTAATCTCCTCAATAAAATAATAAATCAAAATGCAAACAATATCAAAATGGCCTATTCTGATTAATGACTTGAATTTTTTGCAAAGTTCCTCCCTTTCACATCTGTAACAATTACTAATATGCTTTGCTCTTCATTTTTTCAGTGATCCTGTTACTGAGTACACATTTTCTTTTAATAGATGGATTTGAAGCAGTTTTAAGATTATAGTTTATATTTTCTGAGAAGTTTATATTTGCACATCTGCTACAACAGGTTCAGACAAAGTACAGTCTCTTATTAGGTTTATGCCTGTTGTGAAATAACTATTATTTGTCAAAGTAGCCCTTTCATCATTAGGATTTAAAATATCCAAATTGACTTGAAATTTGAATGTTAGCTCAATAGTTGGTCTTATATTCATTCTTTAGATTAACAGTAAAGTTTTTAAAGGTTAACTGATGAATTTTTGTCACATAACTTAGTAGTATTAAACCTTAAAGTTTTAGACTTGTTTTGTTACTTTTTAAATATTTGAGGTGTTCATGGCCTCAACACTAAATTTGTTCATAAATTTATTGATTGAGTCATATAATTTTTATTTTCTCTTTGAAATTTTATGATAGGTCTTATTTTGCAGCATTTTGAATTATTATTGTTATATTGTTTTCATTGTTTAGCCCTGATGTTGACAGGATTCCTACATACTATATTACTACATTTTATAACATAGTTTTTATACATATACTTATGTACAATATGATAGTTTCATGTTTAATGTATTATGTATAATATCATACTTGTAGATAAAAGTATGGATTTAAATGAAATGTCTTGATTCAAAGGGCACACTTTATCTTCTCCAATGTATAGCATTTTCCAGGAATTCATAGCATGTAAACTGAGGTGACTATGCCCCTATAAAACTCATAAAATAGAACCTATGGTTGATCTCTTCCTGTAGGTAATTGCAGGGTGGAGAGGGAACCTGTAAACTATAAGCTTTTATAGCTTGCCATAAAAGAGCCTGTTTTCATTTATCAATGAAGTAGCAATTCAAAGCAGTTCTGCTAAAATTTCTATTGAAACTTGAAAACAAATGCAAAATAGGTGCTCTTTTAAAATCATTTATGACTGTTCATAATAAACATTTTATTAAGTGCTTTCACATTCTTTTCTCCTCTGAACATTGTAAATTATAAAGCCTGTGTTAAGTTTCTCCCATTGCCACTCCACTGACATTGTTTTTTGTAGGTTTCATTCTAATTCTCTTTTTTGCTTTACTATTTTTTTTAATCCATCAAACTTATTCTAAAATGGTCCTATCTCTGGATCACTATAAAGTAACAGTGGCATGAACTGAATTCTAAAGTACCAGAAGATACACAGTTTACATGGGAAAACAGTATGGCAAGCGTTATTGAAATACCAAAACAAAACCCACAAAACATATAATCCATGTCTTCATAAACTAGGAAATGTGTCTTTAACTAGTTCTTACATCCGTAAGAAAGATGACCTATACACAGTTGTTTTTTAAAAAAAAAAAAAAAAGTAGAAAATGACCAACCAGGCTTAGAGCAATTATGGAAGGGATTTTATGTCACCATGGCAGCGTGTACACAAGTACAGAAAT